ATGACTTGGCATGTCCGCAGCCATACTCGTGGGTGGATGAGGTGGTGGCATGTGGCTGAGACAGGGCAGGTGTATGAATCAGCACCTCACAAGAGATCCTGCCCCGGGGCTCATGGCCACCTTGATGATCCTAGCTCAGACCCTGCCTTGGCATTGCCGGGCCTCTCCAGGTCAGTAATGACGTTGGAAGGAATGGACTCCGGCCATTTCTTTTGCCAGGGTCCACACTCCCATCTGGGGGGCCAGACGAGGGGGGAGGAAGAGGATTGGCCTCTTCAGCTGGATCCCTGGAGCAAGGTAGAGTCAAGCCTCCGGACGGATGTCCCTGGGCCTGGCCCCACACACAGCCAGGACCCCAGGACCCTTGTTCCACACTGTGCACTGTGTAATCTTGGGCAAGTTACTCCCACTGTCTGTGCCATGGTTTCCTCATCTAGAAAGCAGGAGCAGCAATGGCCCTACCCCACAGAGCTGTGTGACTCTAAATGTGTTAGCATTTACAACGGGTGTGGGAGAGGACCTGGCACATGGGGAATGTCCAATAGGATTGACGGCTAGTACTCCTCTGGAAGCTGTCCATCGCGTGCGAAATCAAGCTATACACACACACAGTATGTGTACACACCTATCTGCACAAATGATGCATGCCTACCCAAGCAGAGGCACACGTGCTTGCTTAGCAGCCCCCAGTCATGCTGAAGCCCCTCCTGTGGGCCGGGGCCTCAGATCTGCCCCTCCATAGCCAGGGCCATGCCTTGCCCTCCACTTCCAGCTAGGTTCAGCTAATGGGAGGCATGAGCGAGGCTGGAGGATGGGATGAGGGGAGAGGCCACAAGCAGCCACGAGCAGCCACCTCCCATGCAGCAGTGCCCCTTCAGTGGCTCCAGCTCACCGTGAGCAGGGCCCCTGTGCTGTCAGCCTCCACTGGGTGACCCTGCCTTTTCCCTTTGTCCCTGCAGCCCCAAGTGATGTGAGCTTCCCGCCGTTGGCTAATTTCTGGGTTATCACACCATTCTATTTGGGTTTTCAGCTTCTCCATCTTCTTTGTGATCAATTCCATCCCTATGTTTAAATAATCGGAGTGCTTTTGGGTTTCCTAGTTGGACCCTGGAAGTCACAGCTAACATCATATTTAATCCCCTAGCAACCAGGTGGGATGGGTATTAACACTCCCTTTCAACAGCCATGAGGCTGGGACCTGAGCCCAGGAATGTCTGCCTCCAGGTCCACACAATATTGGACACACCCCTCACCCAGGAATGCTCTCTCAGGCTTGACTTCCTACCACATATGGCCACGTGGAAGGGCTGGAGATGCAGGTCCAAACAGGAGACACACATAGAGCCTGCACCTTGAGCACATGCCCACCCCCTTCACACGCCAACACAATGATACAGTGGCTCCAAGTAAATACCCACTGGTCCCCAGTTGTAGGGAAGAGGTGGAGATCAGAGAAGAGAATCTTGGTTCTGACGCGGGGGAAATCGGGGAAATGGGCTGAGATCCAGGTGGAAAGAGTCCAGGAGTATTAGCAGGTGATGAGCATGGCTGGCTGCCTGTGTAAACACAGTACATGTGTATAAACCGTTGCACACACATATGTGTGCACAGACACAAAGGCATCTGTGTATACACACACAGATGGGTAGACATCCACAGACCTGTGCACACACAGAAAAGCACCTATACATATATGCACAGGTGCACACAGGCCTGTGCGAACACATGTGCACACACACAAAGGCATCTACATAAACATGTACACCTGTACATGCATAAAAACGCACAGATGGCCAGGCACACACACAGATGCCCTCAGTGGACTCTGGGTAGGAGGATGGAGTCTGAGAGATATTCCTGTGGGATTGGGAAGTTGGGCAAAGTCCTGGATGCCAGAGGCTTCTGAAGGAGTCTCGGAAGGGCCTCAGCAGCTTCCAGCTGAAGGATGGCTCTGATGTCAACAATCCAGGTGACCTGTGACCCCGCCCCCACCCCCCCATGCTGGCCTGATGAAGGGCCAGCCCTTCCTTGGGCTGCTGGGGGAGGCTGGGAGGAGGATCTGGCCAGGGCACCCTGCCACTTACTGGGGCCGCTCACCGCCATGTACTCTCTGAATGCCTCCTTGTATGTTTTGGCAAGCTGACCCAGAACTTGGAGAGAGGGCATCTCCCAAAGCTCTTTTCCTCTTAGCCAGTATGTAGCTTGGCCGAATAAAGCTGCCTTGTGCTACCTGCCCAGATAATTGGACACTGACAAGCCTCAACCGCCACTTCAGCTTTGTGTGTGAGAATTCGGGGATAAGCAGAGATGCCTGGGCTGCAAAGCCCAAGTCAGGATCCAGGCTCTCAGCTCCAGATGGCTAGGGGCTCTCCAAAGGAACTTCCACAGGAAATTCAAGGTCACCAGTAGAGCAGTGAGTGGATCAGAAGCCCCGCCTCGGACTCCTCCCACTACCTCCCTCACAGCACTGGGCCAGGCTGGGTGCAGCCGGGGTGTGGTCAAGGCGCCTCAGCTGGGATCCTGTCAAAGGTCAAGGACTGGCGGGCTGGTGTGTGGACACCCACCGAGCAGAGCCCGTCCCAAACCCCACTGCCCTCTGCTCTTCTCAATCCCTGTGTCCCTCATTTCAGTTCCTAGAATCACCAGCACTTACACCAGAGTTCTAGAAGTCATCCTTGATCCTCCCCTACACCCCACCCAAATGCTAATCTCAGCTCCTAAGACTCACCTCAGTCTGTCCCCTGACCTAGCCCACCAGTCTCCCATTCATCATGCCCTTGATTGCTTGCAGGGCTCTCCATGGCACTCAGTCTTGCCCCACTTGAGCCCACCCTCCCTGAGAGCCACGGCAGTGTCCCTCAGAGGGACCCCTCAGTGCCTTGGCCTGGCGTCCCTGCTACCACCCCACCCAGCTCCCACTCTGCTCTCCGCAAAGCCCAGCTGTGCATGCTCTGTGCCCCCTAAGCTGGGCATCTAGGGTCTCACTCACCCAGCCTCTGGCTTGACCAACAAGTCCTCCATTCAGCTTCTACACTGGAGCTCAGACAACCTCTGTTGGGAGGCTGGCCTGTTCACTCCGTTCCATCCCTAGAAAGAACTGCATTCCCCTCATTTCATCTCATACCTGCTTCTGGCTGGCCTTCTGCTGTTGCAGCATAACTGTGGGTTTCCACATCTGTCTCCCCTGCTAGGCTGGGTGCCCCCCAAGGGGAGCAGCCTGTTTCATTCAGCCCGCATCACCATGGTCCAGCACAGGTACAGAGAGGAGGCAGCCGTGGCTGTCTGCCAGCCGAGAGAATGACTGAAAACAAAGACATTTGCTTTATTTGTTTTCAGACAGTAGCACATACTCTATTTCTCAAACACATGGCAGCCTCAAGCACAAAGGCATCCATAGGCACCCAGGAGAAAATGGCTGTGGCCTAGGGGGCTGTGGACTGTGGTCCCATAACTGGTTCCTTCTTCAGGGCTCCAAGTCACCGCCAGGGCCAGGATTGAGGGCCGCTCCTCACCCCTACAAAGGAGAACAGGTCACAGTTCAGTCACGGCCCGCTCTGCTGGGAACCCTGTGCATCCCCCAGGCCTCGGCTCCAAGAGGGCCCCCGGCTCTTGGGATGCCCCATGAGTGTCACTGCTTAATGGGAAGGGTGCCCCCCAGCTGGTCCCTGAGACCTGGGACTGGGTCTCTTCACCTCTGTGCCTGGTGCCCACTCAACACATGCCTGCAGCGGCCTGCTAATGGACCCTGTATCCATCTGACCACCCTGCCCCCCTTACAGACAGGCAGGCCTCAGCCCAATGCTGCTTTGCCCCACCAACGTCTCCCGTGTTTTCTTACTTAACCACTCAGAGTTTTCTAAGTGAAACCAGTCAGAGAGAAAGCTCTGGTGTGTGAGAGCCCTCACACTCAGGCTGTTTCTTGCTGGAACCTGCCTCCAAGGCGCTGCCCACATCCACACACGTACATGTCCCTGGGCTTGAGAGGCGCCACACAGGTGCTGGCAGGAGTTCGGGGAGGTGCCTCCCACCCTAGCTTTTGACGAGGTGGGCCTCTGTCTGATACCTGCTCCCTGTCTGCCAGAGATGTGGGTTCCTGCCACCTGGTGCTTCCAGAAGCAAATCACTATCAGAGACGCTCTAAGCCCCATACCCAGCCCCACCAGGAGCCTTCTGAGACGGAGGTCGGCAGAGGGCAGCAACACTTGTTGCATCTCACCCACAGGGTGCAATGTGTGTGTCTGGGCACTGAGGCCCTGCTGGAGTCGGTGGAACACCCTTCTTCCGAGGGAACGCTGCAGACGCAGCACAGCGGGAGCAGCGCTGGCTTCTGCTGTTGCCAGTTGCCCAGGCTCCAATTTAGGCTTTAATAACGCTGGGGGGGGGGCAGGAAGGAGGGAGCCAGGCCTGGCAGTGCCCCAGAGCCTCTCTCAGGCATGCTAGAGCTACAGAGAACACACTGGAGTTAAATGCAATCTGTCTTCCTTCGTAATCACATTTTTGCCTCAGTGCAATGAAGATATATTGGTGAGATGTGTTTGTTAAAGATATACTCTGCTGGGGGAGGGGATGAAAACTCTGTGGCCATGGGGCCTGAAGGAAGAAAGGGAGGGCGGTCGGGGCTATGGGGTGCTAGAGGGCTCTGTGGGGAATCAAGGGGGCCACGGCAGGACCCCAGGTCTCTCCCTCAGTAGAAAGTTAGGTGCATGGTGTGCAAGCACGGGCAATGGCCCGCTGATCCTGGCAGGGCAAGGGTTCTCATGCAAGCCTTCACAAACACCTTGGTAGATACAAAGGGGCCCAGGAGGGCCACCTGTTCCCATGGCCGTGTGGTATGGTGCAGGGTGACTGGCCCAGCTCTGCTCCATGCTGCAGGGACCGTTGGCAGTACCTTTCCTGCTCAACTTAAAATACAGCAAACAGCTTTCCATGCTCCACAGTGGGGAGGAAACATGACCTCCTACCCAGGCTTCACACCCACCTGGTGCCGTGCAGAGCTGCTCCTAGGCTCTGGGCTGCCCCACAGCCTGCTCCGGGCAGCAGGCCTCGAAGCCCAGACAGGCACATGGCACCCTGCGCGTGAGATGTAGCCAGTACTGCAGCAGCCCCACCTCCCGGGGCCTAAGCTGACAGAAAGACAAGGGGGGCTCTGGTGAGGCTGGGCTATTGAGGAGGAGACTGCCAGACCTAGCCAGAGGGCTACCTGACTGCTGACCTCAGCCTTTCCACCATCAGTACCTACAGCAGCTTGTCTCCTACTCGGGCAAAAGGGGCTTTTCCACAGGAAGAAGGCCCCATCCTACATCCTTCTGAACAAACATGCCAGCCCTCTGGAGAAGTCCAAGCCAGGTGCCCCAAGTGAATGACGGGGAGGGGCCAGGTCCAGCCTGGGCAGTGAACTGCTGGGCTTGGGAAGGGGGATTGAATTGTCTAGAAGAGGAACGGGGGGAGGTGAGAGGATAGTATTGGGAGCCGACTGGGAGGGTCAGGGAAGGAGGGCAAGACTTTGGGACCAGGTCTCAGGGGAGGCCCACTGCCAACCTCAGACATCTAGGATACCCCACTGCTGCCCTGCAGGAGGGCTGGGGAGTGTGTGGGAGAGAGTGGGACCACTGTGACCCCCTCCCACTCACCAGGGGCTGGGTGCCAGCATGCCCCTTCAGACCAGCATGGAAGTGGGGTGGGCTGAGAGGTACCTTTCGCTCCCTCACCCAGTCAGGCAGCCCACACCCATTCTTCCACCTCCCTGAACCCAGAGGCTCTTCTTCTAGGGCTGTCCCTGCCCTTTCTGGGCACCCCTACCCTGCACCATGGGCCCTCCTCTGAGCTCCCACCCCCAACTGCTCAAAGGTTAGAAGTGGGTGGCACATGCGTGCCCTTTACTAGGTGGCCGGTCCTTTGAACACGGGACCCAGAGCTACTCCCAGACCCAGAGCTTACTCACACCTGCTCCCAGACTCAGCCTAGTGGGGCCCAGTGCCCTGGGCCCTCTTTTCCTAACCCAGACATCTGAGAGCCGTCATGGGGTCAACAAGGCAGAACGTCTGAACCAGGAAGTGACAGAGGAAATTGAAGGCCTGAACCTGTCACTGTGCACAAGGCAGAGGCTTGAGGTTAGCATGTCTGACTTAGCAGACAAAGTCAGGCAGAGTCCAGCACTTGTGTGCTGGCCCCACGCACCTAGCAGCCCAGCGGCCCAGGCAGGAGGGCAGGGCGAGCCTTACCTTGTGGGCAGCACTCACACAGTGCTGGTAAGCCTTGACCAGATCCGAGCACAGGAGCACTTCTTGTAGGTGGTCACGGTAGCAGCGGAGGATCTGGGCCTGTAGCCCTGAGCACACGGGCTCTATCCTGCGGGGCCTGCAGGGACAGAGAGCAGGTGGGCCTGGGGTTCGGTCCCAGTGGGCAGGAGGGGGACTGGCTCACTCACTCAACACCACAGGCTAGGCACCTGGTGGCCATCAGCGTCCAGTTACCCCTCAGAGAGAACCAGGGGATGCAGGGGCTTGAGCACTGTCACATAGCAGCAGACACCAAGGGGACTGGGCTCTACACTGGCTCTAGCCCTAAGGGGAGAGGGCCTGGGGTGGCCTGCTGGAAGCTCCTTGTGCCCCCACTGGCCACCGCATAGGACTCTTCCTGCCTAAGGGGTACGCCCGACTGTGACCGTGTGATCACACACACTGCAACTCTTTTCTCATATGAAGATTTCAAAACCTAATACGTGCACAGTGAAGAAACCTGGAAAAGTACAGAAATGTCTAAAAAAATATATAACATTTTTAGAACCTCACTTCCTAGAGATCACCTCTGTAGTATTGAGGGATGCTTTACTCTTTTTTCTTTCTTCATCAAAGTAGGTTCAGAAACTACAAAAATGAGTATGTTTTCTTTTCTAAAAGATGAAACAAAACCCAAGTGAAATAAAGATTATGCTAAAATGGGTCACCAGCGTCCTTGGGCAACTCTGACTAGTTTGTCTCCTTCCTGACTCCGTCCGTCACCCCCTCTCCCTTCTCCTCTCTCTCCCGCAGACACACATGCACTGTCTCACACGCACACATGCCTGAACACACTCACACTGCACACCAGGCATCATCCTACTCATGCACTCCTAGCAGCTCTGTGTAGTATGTGCTATGATTTCTCATCCCTTGGTGCAATCCAAGAAACTGAGATACAGAGGAGTAAGTAACCTGCCCAACATCACATGCTGGGAAGGGTAGAAAGGGGGCGGATCTATTTGTTTACGTGGGTTTGGTCACACTGTTTCCACAGACTGGTTTTTCAGGCCAGGTCCATGTGGGAACCTTCGCTGCCAGAGACGGAACCCCAACACCTGATGTGGCCTTTCAGAATAAACACCACCCATGGCCAGGGCATGTGGTGGGAATTGTAAAAGTGCAGAAACCCACTCCTGAAGGTTCTCAGCAGTGAGACCATCACTATGATGCTTGACGCAGCTCTGCCTCCGTCACACAGTGGGGAGACTTGCAGGTTCATCATTTTCTCAGCCCAGTGTCTCTGTATTTTAGAAACCCAGCCATGCAGTCAGCGCTGGAATGGAGCAGTGCCATTATTATTTTAAAATACCTCAAATAAGCTGAGTTCATCAGTTAAGAACAGCAAGCAATGGAATGCTTGGCGGCTTAGCAGGTAAGGTACCTCGGATTCACTGGTCTCATTTCACTAGCCTAGAGGTGGCACTTCTGCTAGGGCTGTGCCACCAGCCAGCACAGGCCGGGCCCGGGTCACCCTGCCCCCCCCCGCACCATCCCCGTGCGTCGTCTACTATCATCCTCAGGCCTGCTGTCTCATGCAAGGGAAGTGGTGGGAGAAGGAGCCTTCCCATTCCTGGGAGGAAGGGGAGCAGAAAGGACGGCTCCCGAGGCCACGCTGGCCTGGCTCTGCCCCAACAGTGGGTGATTCCGTTAGGCTTTGAGGATGTAGCCACAGAGCTGAGGCCGGTCCTCTGGTACCACGCCACTCCAGTCCTTGAGTTCACAGTCCTGCTTCTGTCTCCATGGCATGGATGAGGTCTTCAAGATTCCTTACTTCGGACATATGGGGTCTTGTCTCAGCACTAGCCTCCCATCTTCACACAGGGGAGGCAGATGGGGCTCCTAGGGACCACTCCTTCCGTCTCTGGACCCTGGGACCACCTTTCCTGGGTTCTGTCTGCCACTGCCCACAAGTGGGGTCACTGGGGTGCCCACCCGACTCCCCCCAGTGCTCTCCATTCTCGTATTTAAACACTCTTTGACTTGGAGGCATCTAAATGTGGATCTTCCAAAATGGATTTTCAGCCTTTTGCTGGGCATTTCATCTTGGGCAAATTCTCTCTACAACTCTGCTAATTGCTTCACTTCCGATTGTTCTGATGTTCTCCCTTAGGACAATGGGAACGCACAGGTTTTTGCTTTCTGCCCTCCATCTCAACTACCTTCCCCTCTCTCTTTTTATTCTCTGGTTCTCCACTCTGGGAAAGACACAGCCTGTTCCTTCCTGGTTCCAGACCTGCCCTTGGTGGGCTGAAGCCCATGAGGCCACATCCTTTTGTGGCTCTTTCCTGGTCCCTCTGTTGCTATAGCTCCGAGGGCATAGGCTTTGTTGCACCCCCTCTTGTACCTCCTGAGGCAGCAACCCCCACCATCACGTGACGCCCATGAGTGTCTGTTCCCAGCAGCAGCCCAGCAGCTGGAAGGGACTCCGCAGGCATCCATGGTCAGGGGAAGTGCCAGGCTCAGTGGAGGCAGGTCTAAGTCTGTACGTGGCCTATAGGTCTACAGGGAAACAGGACAGGTGGGGTCAGAGGGGCCTGGGCCAGGTGGCATGGCCGAGTAGCCTGGAGCCCCAGTTCTGACCCCCTGAGAGGCCTCGCCCTCCCCAGACCTGCCACAGGGATCCTGGCTTTCACTTTGCAGGCTGTAAAAGGGTAGAGTAGTTGTTTTAGATTCTGTCCCTCTCCATCTGTCCCCACCTCCTTTGGTTTCAGGTCCCTGGATAAAGGCCCCTGGGCATTTTGAGGGCAAACATCACAGAATCCCCAGTGGGCTCCAAGTTCAGGAGAAACTGGGCCATGGTGAAATCCAACCCCTCCATACCAGTATCACCTCTGGGACTCCAGAGGCTTCTCTCCTCTGGGATTTATCAGGAACAGTATGAGGAGACAGAATGGCAGGCAAATGTCAACTGGAAGAAATTTCACCCGCTGGTCCACTAAAATGGCTCTGAATGGGACAGGAGGACAGCGAGAACACAGCTCTCCAAATACAAGGCTTTCTCTGAAGCAAGGCAGGGCAGGGCCTGGGGTCCAGCCATTCATGAAATCAGGTGCATTCTATCCAAGCACAGCTCCACCCTGCCCTGGTCTCCAGCAACCCTGTTTACACTACACACAAATCAGCACGGTTATAGAGAAACATTCAGTCTTATGAACAGCTGCTTTTCAAATGCACAAAACATGCATCCATAGCATGCTATGAAATTCCCAGGGGTTGAGATAAGTCCTGCTTCCCTAACTGAGGGATATTCATTGCCGCATATTTAGATATAATGGTCCACGTGGCTTTGAGGGGGTTGACGTCACCCAGGTCAGAAGGCTGAGAGTGCATTGCTAAGGAAGGCAGCTCACCTCTCTGGCCCTTACTTTCCTCATCTGCAAGTGGGAACAGCACCTGTCCTAGGCTGATGAAGGCCAGGCAGGCATGTGCATGACAGAGTGTGTCCTGAGGGGCTGCTCTCACCAACAACCCGGCTATCAGCGGTCAGGCTGTGGTGGGAGGAGAGCTGAAGAAGGGAGGCTGGTGTCACAGGGCACTTGGTGAAGAGTGGAGATGAGGAGGCTTTGGCGCTGGGACTCCAGATGTCGGCTCAAAGGGGAGAACTTCTCTGCACACATCCCTCTCCCTGTAACCCAAGTTCTAGTATCTTCCAGACCCTGTTCAGATCTTGCCCAGGCCTTGCTGGTGCATCCTTCCCCAGGAATCTTATGGTACCGATCATAGTGTATCTTCTTCCAGGATCCAGCAGACCCATGAGCGTGGCACCCTGTGGACTGGTGGGGAAAACACAGCTTTCACCCCAAACCCGGGGCAAGGTTCTGGCTTTGCCACTTCCCACTATGTGGTCAGGGGTCAGAGCAGAGCTGCCCAAGACTTGGCACGTGGGAGTCAGTCCTCAACACCAGCATGGCTTCTGGTCAGGTGGTGTCACAAACACTGAGGAAACAGGCTGAATGTTGCTTCCTCTGACAAGGGGCTTCCACACCCTGTCTCCCCTGAGGGCTAGCATGATGGCCGCAGAGGGGGGCACACAATGAGCGGGCGGCAGAGACCACTGGGTCCACTCAGATAACAGGCCCCAGAGGACCGACCAGGGGCACAGCACAGATGCTGGGGGTGAGGGCCTCAGAAAGGCCAACAATGTCACAATGACCTCTGGGTGTTTAGTATCATGGAGTCCCCCTCCCGCCATGCTGCCCATGAACCAGAGTTCTATCTCTTTGTTTCCACAAGAGCAGTGATAAAGAACATTAGAAAAAGGCGAAGTATAGTCAGGAATGAAAACACACCCTTCCTTCCCATCCAACGGCACCACAGTCAGGCCATCAAGGCCAGCAGTGAAGAGCTGCCCTTCCTTGGATGCTCCTCATCACCGCCCAGCTCCCTGTCTGTAAAGCGGGAGTTGCTCTCACCACCGGCACCACACGCTAGGAACCCTTCTCCCTCTGGGTCACCCGCCCCCCTCCCCTCCTTCTCTGGGCACACAGGCCCCTTACTCCTTTACCTTTGCCATGCCACCCCCCAAGCTAGCTTATCCATCACTCCTGCCAAACCCTCCCACTACTAATCCCCAGGTCCATTCCACAGTTGACCCTATGGACCTTAAGACTTCTAAATCCAACAGGCCCCTGGAGCCTTCACGCTAAGCATCCCATGTTATACCGACTCCCTATTTCCTCAATGGAATTGACCATCTCCAAAGGCTCCAGAGGCTCCACTGGGCCTCTGGCTCCTGTTTGTAGAAGCCCTACCTGCCTGTCTCCTGCCTCCCCTGCCCCTCCCCTGCTCCAAATCCGAGGGTTCTCAGAGCAGACTCATTGGCCATAATGATCCTTCTAGAGGGTCTTCCTCTCCCCTTAGCGCTCAGACCTCCTGAGGCCCAGCTCTCCCTGAGCTCCCCTGGCCTCTTCTTTGCTTCACCACTTCTCTCCCTCAGCCCCCTCCCTATAGTCTCAGGGTCTTCCTCATGTCTCTAGCACAGTCCATCACTGCCCTACGGGCACAGAGCACATCTTCACCTTGGCATCCCCAGCTTCACATACCTTTCCGCAGGGGTCTTCCTATAGGGCCCTCTAT